CCCCCATCTAGTGCACCATAATGTTCCACAAGATGACAAGATGGCAAAATCTATGTGGAGACATCTACCATCAGTACAACGGGAGAAAACACAGACGTATGCCTCCCCAGCGAAACATTTCCGCGTGACAGAAACAACCGATACGCTGTACACAAACAAACAGATTCCTCACCTGATAAGCGTCCACATTGCCCAGCCGGTACTGGACGTGACTGTCAATGATCAGCTTGGACAACCTCAGAATCTCTCGACACAAATGGAAGGCATTGCCGAACCGAGACTTCTTACGTTCCTGTAGCAAGGGAAAAAAAATATACTCCAATCAGTCAATGGTCAACAATCAGTGGATAACTTACACGATTTGTCCTGCGCGCGCGTGTGTGTGTGTGTGATGGGGAGGAGGAAAGAGAAGCAGAAAAGAGAGAGTGGAGATGTACACTACCATACTGCCAGGTCAGAACCAAAACGCCCGCTGCTAGTTCAGTTGACAGAACTTTTCTTCAACAATTTAAGTCATTGCCGACGGCCTACGAAAACACTTGTATCAAGGCAGCCCCCCGACTACGAGAAAATACCAATCCCTCTTTGTCTCTCGAAAACTTTCTTTAGTCCACTATTTTCAAGCCTTTTAAAAACTATATAACCCTTTCAATACGCCCTGGGGTCATTTTGTACCCCCGAGGTTGTATTCTTCACATTTCAGAATACTTCTAGTGTGAAGATCTCTTTGAAACTTTCAGTATTGCTCAAAAAATCATTTTGCAGACTGCTATGCAAAGCGTACGGATCGAATTAACTAGTAAATTTCCCTTTTGGAAAGTGGTGGCACAGAGTTTCCCACTGTGTATGGATACGATAGTAAAACGCGACGTACAGAGATAGGGTTAAGAGTTACAGTTCTGGCACTTCCATACGCTTATTGTCTGCTAATTTTGTAGCTGTTTGAAGGGAAAGTTGTTGCAGTTTTAGTGTGGGTGGGTACCTAGATTTGTGGGTGTGGCTGGAGGCAGCCCAGGTGGGTGTGTCTGCTCAGGGAAGCAACTCAGGGGGAAATGGGACAAGTTGGTGTGGGAAGGTTCAAGGCTCTCAGCCCAACTGGCTCATGCCACACCCAACAGGATATCAAATCCAAGGCTGTAGTGATTAAGGAAAATAATAGCATAGAAAGAGGTGTTCAAGTAATACCACAGTTTCAATAGGAGAAACAAGGTTTTCAACGTTTGTCATTGTCAGACAAGCCGCCCAACTGTTTCTACTTCCCACCCAGGAGAGCGGAGTCAGCGTGAGGGTGGAGCAGATACCTTGGTGGTGAGTGTCTTGACAGGCTTCAGGTTGAAGTTGTAGTCCAGATGTAGGTAGTTGAGGTTCTTGCGGTGGATCAGCAGGTTGAGCATGTTGTAGCCCTGCCGACACACCTGTAGGCCCACCTCCAGCCAGTCTAGCTCCGTCGTCTGGAAAAACTTGGTGGCCTTGAACGAGCGGAACAGGTACCTGAGGACGTAACCAAACCCAATGTAAGGAAGTTGCCACATCCAACACAAGACAATGACATGACAATGTAAGAGGGGACAAACAGCAAGAAGTATTCCGTCAAACGTTCCATTTCCAAGTAGTGACAGAACACACACAACTCTGTACCACAAACATTTCCAAGTAGTGACAGAACACACACAACTCTCTACCACAAACATTTCCAACTAGTGACAGAACACACAAAACTCTGTACCACATACAATCATTTCTGGCCTCTTGTGTCCTCTTTACCCCAACAAACACAACTCTGTACCACAAACAATCATTTCTGGCCTCTTGTGTCCTCTTTACCCCAACAAACACAACTCTGTACCACAAACAATCATTTCTGGCCTCTTGTGTCCTCTTTACCTCAACAAACACAACTCTGTACCACAAACAATCATTTCTGGCCTCTTGT